CGGCGCCGGATTTTCCCGGACATGTTTGGCTTTTTGGGATTTCCCCCGGACGGGGATTTGAATCCCAAAAAGCCGGACATGTCTGGGAAAATCCGGACGTATGGTAACCCTAGTTTAGCAGGCCAATGCTCAAAACACTGAGATGGTGATTAATTGTCCTCCAGGTCCACCAAAGGTTGGACAAGAAATAATCAGTTTAATCTGCAGCAAGCAAGATTTAGGTTGGCTATTAGGATAAACTTTCTAATTAGAAGGGTAGTTAAGCATTGGAATAGGCTTCCAAGGGAGGTTGTGGCATCCCCATCCCTGGAGGTTTTTAAGAACAGGTTGGACAAACACCTGTCAGGGATGGTCTAGGTTTACTTTTTCCTGCCTCAGAGCTAGATGACCTCTACAAGCCCTTTCCAGCCCTACATTTCTATGCTGAGTTCTGTAATCAAAATTCTAGTTTCTACCATTTCATCATAGGAGAGGCAAACCTACCAGGTCTCACTCCTTTAGAAGCAACAAGCTCTCTCTCTCTCTTACCACATTATTTTAAGCCACTTCCTAAACATCTCCCCTTCTGCCCACAGCATCCTGATTCTGTGTGTTTCAGTGAGATTTCAAACCTAGTTTAGGGCAATGTAACCCTCCAGCTTACATCCCACCACCCCCAGTGTTTCACTGACGAGCTCTAAACCACTAGCACAGTGGTTCTCAAACTTTTGTACTGGTGGTGACCCCTTTCACACAGCAAGCCTGTGAGTGCAACCCCCTCTAATAAATAAATAAAAACAAAAACACTTTTTTGTATAGTTAACACCATTATAAATGCTGGAGGCACAGCGGGGTTTGGGGTGGAGGCTGACAGATCGTGACCCCCTGAGAACTCCTGCACTAGCAGCACCCGGGGGACTGAGGCTGTTGCCAAGGGGCAGTGGCGGTCGCGTTCTCTTTCCCGCTGAGGGGATTTTGTTGCCTTCTCCCGATTTGCTTTGTAAACGAACATGCCCGGCCCCTAAACGGGGAGCGAGAAAGGCCGGGGGCTCCCACAGGGGCCGCGCATGGGAAGGGGCAGAAGGAAAGGGGAGGGGATGCAGTGACCCCTCCTGTGCTGACCTGGGGGGCTCCTTTTTTCGTCTCTTGCCCCGGCCCGGGCCCGCCGCCGTGCGCCCTCCGCCTCGGTGCGTCGGGTACGGGCCGCCTCCTCTGGATAGTGTTTCCAACCGGTGGGGTTTGGGCGGTACACGGCGGGCGGGAACCGAGAAGTCCCGGAGGTGCAGGAGCGGCTCCCAGCGCTGCCATCATGCCGTAGGTAGCGGGCAGGGGGGCAGGGCAGCCGGCCCGGCGGTATTGGTGGTGAGAAGGGGGCAGGTGTTGGGGGCAACGGGGCAGAGCTGGGGGGCAGGCGCTGGCGGGGGGGCAGGAGTTGGGGGCGGGAGGGGACAAGAGCTGGGGACAGGATCTGGGGGCGAGGGGACAAGAGCTGAGGGGCAGAAGCTGGGAGACACGAACGCCGACTTGAAATCGCGCCTTAAGTCCCTTCCATCTGCACGTCAGCTTGGAAAGGGCTGTACAGGCTGTGGCCAAAACTTTCAAACCTGGCTGCTTAAAGTTACCAGCTAAATAAGCTGCCCCTTTGGGGGGAGGGTTCCCCTAGAGTCGCTGAGCCCCTCACAGGTGCCAGTGTGTGTGAAGACACTTTCAAATTTGGGTGCCTTAAAGTTCGGCACCTAAATAAGTGGTCATTCCCTATAGCACCCCTGGCAGTTAAGTGTAGGGTGACCAGATGTCCCCATTTTATAGGGACAGTCCTGATTTTTGGGTCTTTTTCATATATAGGCTCCTATTAACCCCCACCCCTGTCCTGATTTTTCACACTTGCTGTCTGGTCACCCTAGTTAAGTGAGTCCTCAGCGCCTCTGAGAAGCAGGTTACTATTTAAGTGCTTAAAGTTAAGCTACCCCAGTTTGAAAATGTTAAGTGTTTCTACATAGTGCCACCAAAATTCAGCCATGAGGACTGCTACTAGCCCACATCTCACTGCACAGTAGCAGGGGTGGAAAAGGAGATTTTGATTCAGAACACCAGAGCAAATCCCTTAATTGGAACGTGGGTGGGATATTTCGTGTCAATGTGGAGCAGATTTAAAACATAGTTAATTCTGCCACAACAAACAGGAATCTCTGAATTTTTATTTGACTAATGTTTTCCTACAAATATCAGTTTTGTATAGAATGTTAACCCAAAGGCGATTTTTTTTAAGGCAAGGTTATTTTAGTAGGGGAGTTTTATTACCAGTCTTCTCACCCAAGTCACCTTGGGCCAGTCAGTTAACTTCTTTGTACCCCAGATGAAGCTGCTACTTATCTACCTCCGAAATGTGTCCTATTGAATGATTAATCCTTGGATAAATGGTGATGTAGAAGAACACGGTGGTAAAGTGCGTGTGACTTCTTCATGCCCATGAAAGTGAGAAAATGACAGCAGCTGCTTGAGATGTAATAGTGGTAGCTGTTGGGCTGTAACACCCACTATTGGTACTTCAGGTTCTAGTGGACAGCTGCTCTGGGCTCTTCCTGGCTGCCGTTATAAGGGTTGATCTCCACTATACTATGCTTCCACAGATTTTTTTTCTACATTCTTTCTGTTTGAGTAGCTCTAGTTCCTGCTTCTCCTGTTGTTGTTGGTAACTTCCCAACCAACAGCAGAGGCTTCTGAATACCAGTGGAGAAAGTGAATCAAGTCTTGTTAATTTCACTGCTGCTTAGCAAGGCTGTGAGTAGCAATAGAGGCCCTGCAGAAGTATGCCTGCAGACTTGGGCAGACAACACTGCAACCATTCACAGTCTGATCACAGATAGTTGTCTTAGCAACTATAGATTTTCTTTAGATTAGATTTTATATTTAATGAAAGCTTAAATTCTTCAGTAATTGATGACTTAGGCCCCAACATTTGTTAGTCAAGTCAAAGCTTCCTGTCGACCATTGGAAGTAGGTTTCTTCAAGCCCAAATTATGATTCTATTCTAGAACCTGAAAGAAGACAAGTGTGGCTTAAATAATTTGCGATCTCAGACAATAATCTTTCTAAACGTCTTATGAAATTTACTAGCCTTGGATTGCAGTATTTGAGTGCATTCCTCATTTTATTTCTTCCACATTGTCTTTTACATTTCAGTTTGAACCTGGAAAATAGTCATATTTTTTCTTCAAGCTTTCCCAGCTGATATGCCATTTTTCCCTTTAGTTCTTCCTGTTTCGCTAACATATGTAAATACCATCTAGTTATTTCTCTGCTAAGAGCCAAATAGAGATTTTAGCAATGTGGCCAATTGAAAAGTCAATTACAACTAAAAACATTGTGAAGTTTTATTATGTTGACTTACTGTGACATCAGAATGCATTGGGGTGAAAATTTTATAACCCACATTTGTATAAAAAGATGAAATACAGATTTCCTCAGTTTAAATGCTGTTTTCACACTGGTATTCAGGGTGGAAACTAAATAAAAGATTCTTTTGAGTGTATGTTTTTGTATTTCCACTAACAATGAGAGAGGTGTATTCACACTAAAAATATAACTTCCTTATTAAAGTCTTCATGCTGTCATTACTTAGAATAGGATTATGGTATAGTGCAGTGGTTCTCAACCCACGGCCTAATTAGCACACAGCTGCGGCCCACCTCAGCTGTGTGCTAAAGGCTGGCCCGCGGAGTTCCCAACTGCCCAGCACGGTTGCATCCGGGCAGCCGCCCGGCCCCGCAAGCTCCGGGGTTGGGGTCGGGCAGCTGCCCAGCCCTGCATTGTGGGGGTCTGTGGTTGGCATCTGGGCTGCTGCCCTGCCACCCAACCCCTGAGGCCCAGGTAACACATTGTGGGCTGCATATGCAGCCCACAATGATAAATAAGTTGAGAACCACTGATATAGTGGGATTTGAGGCTTGTGATTCAATCAGTGACCTCCTGTGTGACCTCTTTATACTTAGTTCCCTGCAATACTAATCACCTACCATACCACGTTTTTGTAAAACTTAATGTCTTTCTATAAAGTGAGTTAGAAAATAGTAAGGTTGAAAGTGTGTGCCTGTGGAGTCTATATAACACCCAAAAATGCATTGTGATTTCCTCAGAATAAATTTTCCATTAAGCAATACAGCCACTTCATCATGCCATATACTACTACTTCATTTATTACCACCTCATGCAAATACCTTTCCTCACTCATCTTCAATTTATTTCTTTTATAATTTGCTTAAATACATGCAAAGTTTAAAAAAAAAATCTTAGTGTACCAGGAGACTAAAATCTCACTTCCTTACCAAGGCCTAGATGGTGAAACCCATACTCTCTCTGATGAGCAGTTACTCACATGAATATTTTCACTAAAGTAAATAGGAGTACTTTTGTAAGTAAATGCTCACCAGTGTTAGCAAGAGACTCTCAATCTGGCCTAAAGGGATTTTCCAATATGTTATAACAAACTATAGTTATAACTTTTTTTTAGATTGGTAAATATTATGTGTAAAGTACCAATTACCAGTATGTATATACTTACATAAACATTCAACACCATCTACAGTGCACAGTTAAGAAAACAAATGAACTCTGTCCCTGGAGATTTTGGATCAACTTGAGGGTAGGGGTCTCAGGTAAATGAGCTCTTGTACACTGTAGCTTCATGTGCTTGGTTTTTCCTTCCTCTTCCCTACTTGTGCAGACTGACATTTACTACTGTCCTGGTGCTGTAGTAACTTTGTCCAGCCATGGCAGGAAGAGAGTTGGAACTAATGGAGGTGATGCTACCGCCCTCTATATCATAAAGTAGTGTGGGGTTCTCATTTCCACGGTTTAGATTGTGTTGAGCTTTCTCTCCTCTCCGCCATAGGCATCTTTTTGAATGTACATGGGAGGAAGGGAGATACCTGTGGCCCAGTGGGGCTCCTTTTTAATTTCCCAAATGAACTTCGTTTCAGAGCTTTTAGCCAAGGACAGTGGTTTGGACTTTAAGACCCCCAGTCTTACATGATCCTGACTGAATGATAGTTGATTAGTGATTTACCTGCCCCTCATTAGGGTATCAGAGGGGATACTCTCAGGTGGGATAGAATCTAATGCTTTCACTGGAAAATGCAAGGCTTAGATGATCACAGAAGGCATTACGCAGCCTCTTCTGTTGTAGAAGTACTCACGTGAGAATCTGCCTCTAAAGCTGCATAGCTCAAGGGGCTTATAGAGGTTCCACAGGCCAACAGAGGCAAATTTGGGCCGACTAGAACTCTTGCTTTACACAATATCTGACAGATTTTAAATAACATGGGGCTGACTATTCCACAACTTTTTCTCCGAGAAATTTCCCAAATCCCTATAATTTAGGATTTCCATGCAGTTTTTCATTTGACCTCATCATAAAGCTACCTCAAGTCCAGATTCTGCTGTACTTTGGCTTCCAGCTCCTTTTGAAGTCCATCATAAAAACTTCCATCATAACATAGAATCAGAAATGTAGGGCTGGAAGGGATGCCTTAGTATAACATGCAAATACATTGGCCCCCAGAGCACCCTAACCGAGAGAATGTATTAATGTATATAATGTTTTTCTGCTGCCACTGGGGTTGAAGATATAATGGAGTCTGCATTCCTTAAGCAACATGGGTCACTATATTAAAACAAAAACAAAAAACCCCACACACGTTGTAAAGAATTCCATCAAACTGTTACACCTTTGACTGTCCCTTGGCAAAAATTTGTTGGTTTTTTTTTTAATATAGAAACTGTAAATCTTACATGTTTGCCTTTTTTTAATATAGTATTTTTCTATTATCTTTTTTAAAATACAGATAATTGTAAACCAGTGTTATCTCATACAATAATATTACATGAATAATATTTCAAGATGCATTTTTAATTCATTTTTTGGATGCTTTCACATTTGAAACTCAAACAGTGGCACACTCTAAACAAGGGTGTATTTTAAATGAGGTCATCTTACTTGCTAATGAGTCAAAACAATCTTTTACAAGGTGAAATCTGTGCAGTTACGTTTTGAAGTAAAGTGCATTTTCCAAAGCTTGTTTAATCCAAAATGAATGAGTAAAGTTCTTCTAGAATGACTTTATAAAGATTTTTATAATTGTCTAGTTACTTTATATAATGCTTTAAGCTATTGTTTAAGAAAGCACTTAAGTTGCAGTTGTCTCTGGGTAAAATAGTCTTAATTTATGTTGACCTTTCTTTCCTTTGAGTATTTAGCCTGCATTCAATAAAATTTTGATGACTGCTCTTTAGAAGACAGCTGTACGATATAAGAATTATAAATATTCAGCTTTCCTTTCCTAGTGTTGTCATTAACAGCTGGGCATCCAGTTCAGCAGAGCAAATTTTGCAGAGAGAGTTTGGCATGTTCCTGAATCAGTATAGTGAAGAAGACTAGAAAATAGTTTCTTATGGTTTGGGGACTTGTAAAGACATAGAGCATCTGTTCCCCAGTTAAGTCATAGTCTGGCAGCATTGAATCATGTTAAGAGCTAAAATGATGGGAAGAACTACCTTTTTCACCTTGCTGTATCCATGTTTAAATACTTAATACATTATTTCTACTAATGGCAAAATAATTATAACATCTACCCAGAAGGTATGTAAGTTGGAGTGCACTTGTGTATAGTTATTTTAATTATTGGCATTTTGTTTGAAAGAGACTAATACCTGTTTTTTAATATATAATCTTGGTTTGAACTGGTAAATAGTGGAGAGGTGGATGTTTTTTAGAACAAACACTTGGGTTCCAGCTTCCAAAAAAACAACCTTTTTGTCCCATGTTCTTTGAATTAGTTAATAAATTTGCTGTATCTGAAATTACTTTCCCTAAAGTAGCATTTAATGCATAGAAGATTTAATGCATTCATAATTAGGAAAATATAATTCTTTTAAGACCACAGATAATGGAACTTATTACTAGACATTTTGTATTTGAAGGAGTGTAAAACTTGTCTGTCTTTTGCTTGCAGAGTTAAGAGAGCACTGAAGTTGGAGACCCTTGCAAAAGAAAATGTAAGTACTGTATTCAGTTTTGTGATTGGAATTATATGGAATTTACATAAATACACAGCATTTCATTAGGGTTATGTTATAGCAGATTGGCTGACAGTCTACAAAAGTCTCACTAAGGAGAAGAAGTGATTACTAAAAATCTTTGGCATGAAATTATTGTTTTTTGTATACATTTCCTGTCAATAAGTGAAGTATTTATCTGCATGAAGAAATTGGCTATAACTGGAGAAATAGGCATATTTTTGGTTACCTTCACTACTTGTCCAAGAGCTGAATGAATTAGGATCCTTGTTGAAAGCATTTATTAGAAATTAGCTCCATAATTGTGGAAGCAAATGTTCTGCCATCTAATTGTACATGTAACAATATGGAATTATGATAATGCTATAATCTTCATATTATAAGCTGCAAAATTGAAATGAAAACATTAAGAGCATTTTTATGTCAAGGATATAATTACATCCCTCAGCTAATCTGGCATAATGAAACAATAAAATACTAACGCTGCAATAAATTTCACCACAGTTATCACAATAAAAATAAAATTGTACTGTTGCTATTATTTTTTGTAAATGCAGCCATTGTATATTCCCAGTGCCAGCATGTCATGACATATGTCTGTTTATTATCCACCCGTACCAACAGTGGGTGTTGCTACAAACACTAACACGGAGGAGTTCATGAGGATGGTAGCCTTAAAGGGAAGGAAAATTAGTGGAAAAGTATATTAGAAAAAATAGCTGGTCAGTAAATGAGCCTCCGGTAAATCTCCACATGGCTATGTCATTTTAGAGAGATTTGTTTATATGTGATACCTATTGAGAAGTCTCATTGGTATTTAGCAGAATAGAAACTTGCAATTTTAAAAATTTGCTGGATACTTTTTTATTTAAATAAAGGTGGCAAAATACCGCAGTGGCACTAAAAAAAATCATTAGCAATTTAATTAGCAGTTTAGTGTACCATTACCCAACTTGTTCTGCGCAGAATGCAGCTGTGACTGTAATTTTGCATCTGTTTCTTGGGTCGGAGTAGCATTTTTGTGGTTGAGTGGTCCAGCCTGAAATTAAACACGGTTTTTTTCTACCCTAAAGCTGTTATTTTTCTGAGATGGGAACAAAAGTGTTTTAACAGAGAAGAATTGCATTTCAGACTAGACTCTCCTTTTGCAGCAAAATGACTATAATAAAAGCCCTTGTTTACATCAGCTTTTCAGAATATGATGGGTTAAAATATTCACTTGAAGTCGTTTCTATATTGGGGGGCTATCAAGTGTAATGTGACTATACAATAAAGTTTTCATTTATATGGCACCTCTCCTCTTGCACAGATTGCATCCCCATCCCATACTGCTGCTTCTCCTTTGTCTCCCGGGGCCATCTCCATGGCCACAAAATGCCAAACGTCTCCCAATATGCCCTCACCTGATGTGACCTCTGCTTCTGTATATAAAGTCAGGAATGAGTGGTTAAAACTGTGTAATATTGATATGACATCATAAGGATTTGCCCAGCTGAAGAGAAACTCTGATTGCCATAGAGGTATTACGCTGATTGCCACAGAGGTTGTGTGCTGCAGTAACTCTCTTCCCAGGTAGATGCTCAAAGGAGGCTTCCTTCATGTCCAGAAGTATGGTGGCTGCAATGTCAGGCATTCAAGGTTAAACAGAGAGGGCCCCTTGAGGCTTCAGTGGGGATGCACAGGATCTCCATATTGCAAAACAGAGTGGATGTAGGTTAGATGCCTAATGTACCATTGATAGCGTTTTGTAACTAACATTTCTCTGAAAAACTGTCTTTACTGGCAGTAATGGGCTCAGTTCATCTTAATGTGGCAAAAGGTTAGCAGTAGGGTAGCCCAAGGTTTCCTACTAGGACAGGGGTTGTTTAAAATATTAATAAACTGGAAATAAAGGATGCAAAGATGATATAAAATTATTAAATCTGCAGATGATACAAAATTATTTAGGCTACTCAAACAATGGAGAAGATTGAGTAATTCAGAGGTATATAGGAAAGCTAGATGAATGAGCACCAAATCAAAATTCAGTGTTAATATATACAAGATAATGCAAACTGGAAGAATGAATTAGATCAACTCATAAAAATTGCTGTATTATAAACTAACAGTAACTGCTCAGAAAAAAACCCTGTGTATCACTGTGGGTAGTTCAGTGAAAACTTCAGCTCAGTCTGCAAAGGCGGTCAAAAAAAAAAAAAAAAAGCAAACAAAATGTTAGAATGCATAAGGACTGAGATAGAAAGCACTACTTAAAATATGAGGCTATTCTATAAAACAATGTTCCATCATCTGCAATTATGTCCATTTCTAGTCACCCTGTTAAAAAAGGAATTACAGAAAGAGAAGGGGTCCATATCCAGATAGTGAAAATGATGAGCGGCATGGAAAGGCTTTCGTATAAAGATAGATTAAAAGATTGGGACTGTTTAATTTAAGAAGATGAAGAAGAGGGGGCAGGATAGAATGTTATTGGGAAGGTAAATTGAGCGTTCTTATTTATCCTTTCCTATAAAACAAGAACAAGAGGACAGTCAATGAAATTGAAAGGCGGCATATTTAAAACTGAAAAGGATTTTTTTTTCTTACCCCGCACATAATTAACCTGTGGAATTTAACCTCGCCAACAGCTGCGGGCAAAGAACTTAGAAATAAATAAATAAATAGACATTAATATGCATAATGAGAATATTCATAAAAAGCTACACGGTGGAAAATATAGGGACATAAACCCGTATGTGTCTGTCATAAACCAACCACTGATTGCCTGGAGTTAGGAAGAAACTTCTCCTATGGGCAGGTTGCTACATAATTGACCATTAGGCATTTTGGTACACACCCATCCTCCTTTTTTCATGGTTATTGTCTCTGTAGACTTGTGACAACAAGGATGCTCCCCATAAGAAAGTATCCTTGTCTGAAAAACATTTAGAATCATGTAAATATATAAATATTAACTAGTTGATAGTACACGTTATTCTACCCACTGCTGAAATGTAGCCGCTTCTCTATAAATATGGGGGAGGCAGGGAGTAGCAAAAGTGTCTTACCGCCACCTTTGTGCCCTCCTGATCTTGGGCTACTTGAGGGCTGAAGAGGCCCCATACATAACTTAGACTTAGTACTGTGACGGGTTGGATCACAGAAACCCCCTCGGGAGCTGCCACCCGATGTGCCAAGACTACCCCTGCTTCTGTTTTCCCTGCCAGCTTAGGGCTCCAGCACCCTGTCTTGCTGAGCCAGCCACTCCTGTCTGGCTCCAGACACAGACTCAGAGTCTGAATCACTTGTCCCCAAGCTGCAAGTTTACCCAAAAACAGCTCACAGGAGTGTGCTTGTCTTTAGCACTCAGATGCCCAACTCCCAATGGGGTCTAAACCCAGATAAATCCGTTTTACCCTGCATAAAGCTTATGCAGGGCAAACTCATAAATTGTTCGCCCTCTATAACACTGATAGAGAGATATGCACAGCTGTTTGCTCCCCCAGGTATTAATACATACTCTGAGTAAATTACTAAA